AAAAAAAAAAAAAAAAAAAATCCTGCTTTCTTTTTTATTTTTTTTAAATATTTTGTTTAAATCAAATTTCGTTTTTCATTTTTTAAAAATCTTAAACACAGTCCGATTCCAAAATAAAAAACATAGGACTGTAGGGTTTTCCAAGCCCTACACCCCTATATGTTTTGTTTTTTTTTAAACGTATTTTTAGGGGTAAAAAAAATAATTTAAAAAACAGACCGCGGACTGGGCCTCATGGGCCGCGGCTGCGGCCGACGTTTTCGGCCGCAGCGGCCGAAATGCCCAGGGCCTAGGCCGCGGGTGTCACATAGGGGGCACCCACCTCGGAGGCGACGCAAAACCATCTGGTGGTCGGCGGGGATCGCTCCTCCGACTAGTATAATCATAAGGGTCCTCCATCCCCGCGCGCTCCAACTGCTCTTGATCGAGAGCACGTGGGGTGGACTTCCCCATCCTCTCGTCCAACTGGCAACCTGTGTTACCCTCATCAGCGTAAAAAAACGATGGAGGCCTCACAATCAATGCGAGGGACATGTCTCCCGCTGTGTCCCTCATTGGGGACAGCTGTGCCTCCTCGTCAACGCCGACAACACCCTCCATGACAGGACTGTGTCCTGCACCAGTGTCACTGCCCTGACGGTCAGTGCGCAAACCTGCCTCCTCCATAACCACATCTCCCACCTGCGAAGTACCATGGGCTCCAGGCGTACCCCCCTCCATGTCCCCAGCACAAAGGCCAACGATCACTCTGTCGATGAATCCTCCGACGTCTGCGGCCTCTCCCTCGTCCCCGGCGTCTGAGCTATCATCTCCTGCGTCCTGATCGCCGCCATCTCCAATAGGCCGACCATCAGTGCCACCCCCGCTTTTGGGTGCGTGCTCCCCCTCCACGGCACGATAGCTCGCCAGAGTCGCCAGACCAACGACCGATCCACCACTCTCCATCTGTGAACCACGACCAGGCCGTACTGCGCCGGTCTCCAACTCCCTCAACCTCCGTTGCTCGGACTCGTATGCCTCCCTACCCTCCCACCTCGGCGTAGACTGCAAGTGTGCCTCCTCCTCACGATCAAGGCGGGCGTCCCTCTTCTCGACCATCTCCTCACGATCAAGCATGCCTCCGACGTCTGCGGCCTCTCCGTCGTCTGCCCCCGGTCCACCACTTTCCATCTGTGAACCACTACCGGCCCGTACTGCGCCGGTCTCCAACTCCCTCAACCTCCGCTGCTCGGACTCGTATGCGTCCCTACCCTCCCACCTCGGCATAGACTGCAAGCGTGCCTCCTCCTAACGATCAAGGCGGACGTCCCTCTCCTCGGTCGTCTCCTCTCTCTGACTCGCATCTCTCCCATGCACCAGCTCCTGTGTAAATCTGTAACGCAAGACAGGCGATCGACCATGAGAGCCAACGACGTTAAAATCGCTGGTCCTCAACGAAGACGGCGTGCCGTGGGCGTCCTGACGATCACGACCGTGAGTGGGAGTGACCGGAGTCTGCTCCCCGACTGGGATCTCATCTAGGTGCTGTGAATGCGCACCCCCCTGCCCTGCCAATCTCCTCGATCGACGCAGCTGTTGTGCCCCGACAAACGAGTGGTGGCTAGGATTAAACCGTGCGTCCATCGGATGCTCCTCCATCCCGGCCATATCCTCACCGCTAGAGTCAACACCATGTACCTTCCGCCTCTGCAGCGGGGGTAGGTGTCTATCTCTCTCCCTCAATGGCTGACCCGAGCAACCCGCAGGCGGCGCAGGGGACGGTCGGTCTCCAACACCCTCTGTCCGGCCTAAGCCGTCATCGGTGATGACCGACGTCCGCGGTGCAAGCCCGTCCGATCCTGCACCGTACATGAAATACACCTGCTCCGCAGTCCTATCCCCGCCCCGTGCAAGGTCCTCCGGGTTCGCCCAGTCGTCCTCCCCATCCTGCAAACCCCCAACGCTGGCATCCTGTGTGGGCGGAGGCACATGGTCGTAAGGTAGCAATGTGCCTGCCCTCTCCCCAAAAACCTAAGACACCGCTCACGGAGGGGCCGTGTCGTCGTGTGCGAACACGTCGATCTGCCTCCTGAGCTCTGCATCGCTGACAGTCCCAGCTGGTCTCGCCCCCCATGCCTCTGGCTCCGGGTCACCGTCCTCCTCGTCCTCGTCCGCGGCCGCTATAGGTCTCTGCTCCTCATGACCATCCATGATCAAGGGTAGAACTTACCCACCGCCATGCTGCCTGCACGAAGCCAGTTTGAGATTAGTCGTAATCTCAACCAGCTGTGCCAGCGTGGCAAAACCAAGCTTGTTTCGCTTCCCCGTCTGAATGCGCTTATGCTCCACCCAATTCCTCTCCGCAGGAGAGGCGGACGTCCACATGTGCATCACACGGATAGCGATGGCACGCAACTCCGGGTGGGCTACGCCGTGGGCGAACCACCATGCCGCACAACGAGCGGCCTCGTTATCTCCGTTGCAATCCTGGGCATCGACATCGGCATCGGACAACAAGCGATCGCCCCAATCGCCTCTCCGTGCGTGGAAATGTCGTATCTGTGCGCGCACGACGAGGTAATCTCTGCCTGTCGGATCTCCCCCGCATGCGCAAGCAGAAACCGATCACACTCTCGTACGACCTTGGCGTCCTCCGGTGTCATATGGAGAGACTCGAAATACCTCAAAGACCGCCGACGGGGGTTGAGGAGATGGGCAGCGGCGTGAGCAGGCTCCAAGAGATGCATTAGGCGCATCTCAACCTCTCGCACATACTGCGTCAGAAACTCTGTCAGGATCGTCGACAACCTCATCAGCTGAACGAGATGCTGACTCCACTCATAGACAATGGACATCATCATCCCTCCTCTGTCCATCCGCCTCAAAAGCTGATGGACAGGCTCCATCACAAGGATGGCAAACTTCACCTGACGCCAAAACTGGCCATCGCAAATTTGGAGGCGCACCCACCGAGCCTGCGGAATGAGCCTCCGCTCCCACGGAATGCTAGCCCACGCGTTGTCGTGCAACGTAGACTCCAACGCGTCGCGTCTCCCGGTCACACAGGTTAACATAAAAAAAAACGATCCAAACGTGTTTCAACCAGCTGAATAAGTGAGACGTGAGGGCTCTTCCTCTTGTAGAGGGTGAGGGTTGCTCTGTGCGATTTGATGAATCGCACCAAAGCTCGAGCACAGATGATGGTGTCCCTCGCCCACTCCACTCGTGTCCCAATATCGGACAACATCAATCTGCAGACGTGGGTCGAGTAGGGGAGCCACGTGATGCGCCTGACATCGGGGTCGGGGTCCTAGCGAGGAGTTTGGACGCCGCAACATAGTTGCTGGCAGAGTCCGTGCAAAATGCGATCACATCCTTCGCAGGGAAGGAGGTCATGATAGCCCTCCACCTGCGATAGACAATGGCCCCAGTCTCAGGGACTGAACCGTCACGGCAGATGGTGGCATAAAGCAGTGCGCCATTGGCGCCGGCTGCAAGGAAGTTCACGATTCGCCGTGAATCGCGAGACTTCCTCCCGTCCGACAACATGGTCGTGCCGCTGTGGGCGAAAGCCTCTCGGACCTCTCTCAGCAAGGTGGCCACCTTCGCCTTCTGCGAAGGAACCTCGGGACCGCCGATTTTCTTAAACGAGCGAAATCGCATCCTCACACCTCGAGGCATTTCTTTGGATGCCTTCCTAACCTTCCTCCAAGACTGTCTCCTAAAGGCATCGAACGCAATGTCGACACCATACACCCACTGCAGAAACTTGTCACAGAAATGCGACTGCTTCTCCTTGTCGTACACCTCGTCAATCCGGCTCTGCCGCACCCTCTTCCCCGTCTCAGGTGGAAGGTCATCCCTGTCCACCACCTTCCTCTTCTCCCTGTCCTTCACCCCTGCCCCATGTGAAGTCAACACGACCTCCTCACCCTCCAAATCTACACCGCCTGACAAACCGCCCCCCTCGCGCTCCTCAGCCTCGTCTAGGACGTCTTGCACCTTGCCCCGGGGTGCGGTGGACGACGACACTCGTGGACGGGAATGGCCCACAACTGATCGTGCGCCCCTGATCCCGTTGTCCTCCATGTACGTCAGAAGGGATGCCACATGCTCAATTGCGAAAATGTATTTTGTGTCGTTCCAGATGTCGACAAGAACGTCCATCGTTGTTGCGCGACATTTCTTTTGCTGAGTGAAGTGACGCGCTGCCTGCTACACATTCCTCTGCCAAATGTGCTTGCAGAGGTTGCATCTCACCTTCCGATCCCCGTGCATCTTATCCCACGTGCTGAACTTCTGCCCCTGCATCACGTATTTCCATACGCACGAGGCCCTCCTCAAGTTTGCCATGTCAGTATATGACACGGGGATGAAAGCACTCCCTCTAGACCCGCCCGCCCCCTGAGTCATTGTTGCGGACCCTGAACACGACCCGCCCTCCCGCCAATCCGGTCAACGGTGCCAATGTAGAACGCTGCAAAACTCCCCCTCCACCGCCTGCGCTGCTGCCGACCCCGCATGTCGTCCGTAGACTCGCCGATGTCCCTAGTGTCTGCGCGCGGTCACGAAGGTGACCGCGCGGTCTGGACCGCGGCCGCGCGATCGAAACAGCACCCTCGCGGTCGGGGATGGCGGCGCGTGACGGCGTCGTTCGCACGTGCGCTTAACGCAGACTGTACATACGCAGGCCACCCATCGCCGTCTGCAGCCTCTCTTTGACTCTCTCTCTCTCTCTCTCTCTCTCTCTCTCTCTCTCTCTCTCTCTCTCTCTTTCTCTCTCTCTCTCTGTGTGTGTGTGTGTCTCTCTCTCTCTCTCTGCCAGGGGATGGCTACAGGACGGGCTCTTCATCCGTCTTGCCCGAAATGACAGTGTTTTCCTCTGCTGGCAACAATGTGAAAACAAATCGGGAAAAAAAATAAATTATAAACACGACAAAAATTCGGGGAAAGAATGGGAAAACCAAAACTACTCTACATTTTCTGAACTTTGGATAATCGGAAATACGGTCGGGGCGGCCACTTCGATGTCCGAAAGGAAGAACTCGGACATCGGCCTGCGACGACGGGTTTCTGAACGCTTGCGGCCTACCAGTACCGGGTCCCACATCTCCAACGACAAATCGGGTTGGGATCCGGTAGGCCGCGAACAACAGGTCGCGCAATAAAAAAAGACCGATTCCGGCCTACCGGTACTTCGACGGTTTCTAGCGGCGGAGGGAGTGGTGCCATAAGGAAGGTCGCACCATTGTCAAATGAGACTGGGTGGTCCATATGACACTCGCTGCTCCTCCCCATGACAGTTTACAGAGTGGCACAGGCAACCCCATGCACGCTGGACCAAGCATACTGCCCTGCCGTTCCGGGGGCAAGATGGTCGACAATCCATCTGCAGGAAGAATTGGACAGACGGTGTCGGGCGGCTGTCCACCTGCCGTTTGTTTTTTCTTAATCAAGAGAAAATAATTTGCTGGGGTTTTCTTGGTCTTCCGTGGGTTTTGGTGTGTGGATGAATGTGATTGAGGAGGTTTGGGGAAATCCTTGGGGTCCGAAACCCTGCACTAACGTTCGGATGAGCAGGGAAGATGGGGACGGCGGCTGCCGCAAGTGGGGTCGTGCAGACTGCGAGGATCAAAGTGTTCAAGGCCGCGTTCTGAGAACCCGGGGGGGGGAGACAGACCTTGGGCAGTGGCTTGGAAGCCGGGAACGAAGAAGGTTGGGGGAGGACCCGGGCCGTGACTATGAACCGTAGTGGATTTACCCCAACGAGCATGCGAGATCGCCATTCGAATCAGGTATGACCCAAGGCAGTGAGGGGGCGTGAGGTTCGAGGCCAGAGGGATCCTGGTGCGGACGTAAGACCAAGACGCCGCTTTGGCGGGCGACACACATAAGAAGGAATGAACTTGGACCTGATGTCCAGCCAGGTACATAACGTTGAAGAATCTCTTGGCATGATTAGCGGCCTGGTACTAAGCTTCGACTTTGAAAAAGTTTCTTGGTAACTACCATGGGATCTGCACTTGGCATGATCGGCAACCTGGTACCGAACTTCGACTTCGAAAAAGTTTCTTGGTAACTGCCTCGAGGGGCATCCCTCGTGGGATCTACACTTGGCCTGATGAGCGGCCGGATATTGACCTTCGATTTTGAAAATGTTTTTATCGTAACTTGGCCTGATTAGCGGCCTGGTACTTAGCTTCGACTTTGAAAAAGTTTCTTGGTAACTGCCTCGAGGAGCATGCCTCGTGGGATCTGCACTTGGCCTGATTTTCAAAATGTTTTCATCATAACTCGGCCTGATTAGCAGCCTGGTACTCAGCTTCGACTTTGAAAAGTTTCTTGGTAACTGCCTCGAGGGGCATCCCTCGTGGGATCTGCACTTGGCCTGATTAGCGGCTTGATACTGAGCTTCGACTTTGAAAAAGTTTCTTGGTAACTGCCTCGAGGGGCATCCTTTGTGGGATCTGCACTTGGCCTGATTAGTGGCCTGGTACTGAGCTTCGACTTTGAAAAAGTTCCTTGGTAACTGCCTCGAGGGCCATCCCTCAGGGGATCTGCACTTGGCCTGATTAGCGGCCTGATACAGAACTTCGACTCGATGAATCCTGGACGGGATGAGCGAAAGGCCAGGAGTAAGAGAAGTTGTGATTGGTGGCAGCCGAGGAGGAAAGGATCAGTGGGCAGTGGTTCTGGGGAAGAAGGAGAATATAAATAGAGGGGCGACCCGACACGGAGGAAGGGGAGGGCGTACGCAAGGACGCACGGGAGCGACCAGGAGAGAGAGGAATGCGCAGCGGGGATAGTCGGTGCCAAACCAGCTATGAATCCCCTGCGGCTGCGGTCACCGCGGGCACAACCGCGGCCCGAGGTCGTGGCCACGAGGCCGCGGCCGAGGGGAGAGGGGGTTGGGGAAGGGGGTTGCGGATTGGGGTTTCGGAACCCCGACCCCACCCCCTTGAACAAAAAAAAGTTAAAAAAAAATAATTTTGAGGGCTATGTAACCGTTTGAACGCCGTGAATGTGCGTTCGCGTTCAAATGTGCGTTTGACCGCGGATTGCGCGTTCGCGTTCAAAATTGAACGGCGTTCAATTTTTTTATTTTTTTCAAAAAATATTCTCGACGCCTAAAATGTTTTTTTTTTTTCTGATTTTTTTTTTGTGAGTTCTCTATGATGTGAGATACATGTCTGTAAATTTTGGAGTCATTTTGTCAAGGGGGAAAAAATAAAAAATCGCCAAAGATGGCGGTGTCAAATCATGTTCGCCCACTATTTTTCAATTCTCTTTTTACTTTTTTCTATTTTTTGTTCTCTATTTTTATTTCGAATTTGATAGCGAATTTGGATGTGATTCTCAGGCAAATGTTGTTTATTTTATTTTTCTTCATAACATATTTGTTTTTCGGAATTTTTAGAGAACTTTTTTTTTTTTTTTTTTTTTCCCCACGCGGAATTGAACTCCGCGTTCGGTCGCATTCACTGAACGCGCGCTCATTCCGTTCAGTTTCTGAGCGGAAAACCCGCGTTCAATGAACGCGCGGTAACACAGTTCGAGGGGGTGGTTTTTTGGTGTGTGAACAACAAAATAGAAAAAAATAGAAAAAAAAATTTTGATTGATTGATAGATTGATTGATTGATTGATTGGTTGGTTGATTGATTGATTGATTGATTGATTGATTGATTGATTGGTTGGTTG